GTCCCACTCGTATCCAGTATCCTGCATCCAGAACGTGTAATATCTAACAATGTTACGGTGGAAGAGGTCTGATAATGTTCTCACCTCTCGAAGAGATTTTCTGAAACACAATAAGAAAAGTGTCAATACAGAAAGTGCACAAGTACTGTGCATATAACACTGAATGCTGGAATCCTACTGTGGCATACTTAACTCTTTATAGCAGCCGACCTTCACAGCATATTCTATCTTCAACTGTTTATGTCTTACTTTGTAAACAGAACCAAAGGCCCCCTTACCAAGATGCTCCAAGGGTTCAAATTCTGAAGTAAACCTGTGGACAGCAACGACACATTTATGCAACAATGTAATGTAATGATCAAATACAGAAAGCTCTTATAAACTTCAGAAATCAAAATCCTAGATGGCAGCATGTCTGTGTGTGTGCTGACTGATTTAGAGGTTTCTGAAAACTACCAGTGATTTTGGCAGGTTTTTCTACACGGCACGGTTACTTGACACTTACCCTTGACTAATAATTAAAAATCCTGCATTGAACTGATAACTAGACTGTGGTCATTTGATTGCTGCTGAAGCTAAAAAGTTCTCCAAGTTGACCTCAAGCTATGTCAAGCTGTAGCTCCATAAGAAACAACTGTTTCCAATTCGGATGTTTCCTTCGAAAGGAAGGATAAATCCTCCTTTCTCATTCAAAAAAGGTGGACTTGCATAAATGACCACAGGGGTCTGTGCAACAGTGACTTTTTGGCCATGATGCCTCCTCACCTTCTGGAATTGGACTGGCAAAATGCCTGACAGGCCCAAAACCCAACACGAAAGAATACATAAATGATATTGCTCCATTCCGACCTGCATTTGCTACTTTTGTGGATCTGTAGTTAACGCCATCACAAAGGCTGAGACTCCTTTTCAGTGCTCTTAAATTGTAATACCGTATGAAATGGATCATGTACAGCTAATGGGACTCAGACCATTGAGTCATTCAGCAGTAGACTTTTACACCCACAGTGTAGGAATGAGTGCTACCGCAGGTCATTCTTACCAGCAGCTGTCAGACTCTATAACACAGTTTAACATCCCTTGGATTATCTTACTCATCAGCTTGTTTGTTCACTGCACATTTTATACATATCTCCGTACAATTTTTTCTATATATATTTCTGTACATTATAAACGATCTTCAGTTGATTATGTATATAGGACCACTTTATGTCTTCCTTTTATATTTTATATTTCCCCCTGCTATAAAAGCTGTGTAACACCCAAATTTATCATCCGTAGGATAATAAAGGTCTATTCTATTACCTATCCCCATACTATTCTCCTCTGTGGACTTGACCCGTATGATTTGTGTCATGGTCCTTCAGGAGAATTTTACTTTTCTTTCACACAGACGCCATGATTTTATCATAGATTTAAATAATAAAAAATAATGTCCTAGAAAATCTTTTAAGCAGAGGTGCTCAACTGCTCTGTTACTTGTTATTTCTGGGAATATTAAACCAAATACTGGCCCCAATTTTAGTGAAAGGTTTAACACTCCTCTGGATTTTAAATCTAGATAAGGCCTACGCTTTATTCACTTGAATGATAGCTTATGTTCCAAATAAGTGTGCTTCATGTGTGGACACATTCTACTGATGCAAATGTTAATGTTTAACCTGAAACCTTGTTAAACCAATCCATTACCAATAGTGTTATCAATAGAGATGGCGATATTTGTCAAACACAAATTCTATGTAAATTTGCCTGTCTCTGAGTAAGCAATTTCAGGTTTTGATAGTTTAAAAAAATCTACATTAGTTGTTGATTAGTATAAAACACCCTCAGCTGTCAACGGTGTGCTAACCTCTTTAATGAAGTGCAAATCTAAATTCAGTCTTCAGGAAATATTTCTCATGAGGGACTTCAACTGGAACTGACTGCAACTCTCTAAATCTCTTTAAAATTGTTGAAAGTGTCCAGAAAAATCTTTAAAATCTTTCATCAATTGAATTATTTTAATCCAAGTTATATTATGATCATAGCATTATAAAAGCTTTTCAGTGAATGATTTAGTGCAAAGATGGGGTTAGAAAAACTCTGTCTTTTCCTTTTCTTTTTCACGAGACAGTTTTACTGTGGAAAAGAAGTGCTTTGTCCTTAGTCCTCATCACAAATAGAAATATATGCCTTAAACTGTGATCCAGTGCACATCAACCTTTCAACTACTCACTACTACAAGTCATTCTGAGAGCAAAGCACTTTTAGCCAGCCAGCTTTAGGTTGCTCTGTATCAGTCTTTGTGATGGTAATCTATTCCTTATGTTTACCTTTCAGCTAGGTTTAAGAGTTCTTAAAATAAATAGTCAGTCATAGGAATGATTTATTAGTTTGTTTTTTTTATCCCTATGCAAAGTGTCTTTAATTATAAGTTTGCTGTGAGTTCCAAATGAACCCCAGTCAATGAATTGCAAATTAAAATGGACAAAAGGCAGGGAGAGGTACTGATAACCTCGCGAGAGTTTTTCTAAGCAGATGTTCACAACAAATATGTTGGAGCCCAACTGATACTCTCATTGGCCAATTTGGTTTTTGAAAAACTGCAGATACTGATAACATCTGTGATTAGGCTAAGATTTACAGGTATCAGCTGAGCTCTGTTTTTCTTCTTCTATTTGTTCTTTTGATGAGGTACTAATTATATACATAATATTGATTCTTACTGAGAGCAACGCCACTAGCTATTTGCTGGTATGTTTTTTCCCTTTTCTTCAAATGTATTTTTCTTTGTAGATTCATAAAGTTTTGTATGAATAAAACAAGTTACAAACTGGTTTAAATGAGTGGTTATCTCGAATGGCCTTTGTTATGGATTCAAGTTAAGATTAGACTTTCATTTTCTTCTTTTCCTTTGTTTTGGTGGTTTTAAAACAAAAGCATTGAAAAAAATCAACTGGATTTTTTTAAACGGCACTGACTTGAATTTAATTAATTTCCCTGCATGATCTGTTAACTTGAAAAACAAAAAATAATAGCCAAAGCAGATCATTGTCTAATGGAGATTTAAAATAATATCAATAACCCTTTTAAAATTTGAAGGACTGGTCTAGACCTCACCCACATATAGACAAAGACTAACATCGCATTTCTGGCAAGGCTGACGTGTTTGGTTCCTTTAACGAGCATCTGATGTCCACAAAACCCTCAAACTTTTAGGTTCTAGGAAATCAAGAGGTCCAGCTAATTTGAAACTTTTCTTTTTTGGTACATAACAGGCAACATTGTGAAGCTATTTTTATTGATCTAAATGACACCTTTTATTATGAAATTTTAAAGTAAAGACTTGTCAGTGCAGGGTTGTTAGAAAAAACTGTTGAATTGTTTCAAAGTTATTTAGCTTGCAACTATCAGTGTGTAAGGATAGAATAAATCACTTGCTACCTCCTTTAATGTAACAAAAGAACTGATGGAAGGTTCAAGTGCTACTGTTATTAATTTTATATATAAACAATCTGGGTTATAATATCACTACAGCAAGAACTGTACAGAGTTCAGTGCTCTGAGACTGAGTAAGTATCTCAATATAAATGCTTAGGAATTACAATTGATGACTCTTTTACACCTCATATTCAGCAACTGGTGAAAACATTGAATTTGAAACTCTGTTTTTACTTTAAATAATGTCCTATTAATCGTTTGAGGCAAGAAATAGACTTGTTGTTTTCACCTTTATGTTTGTACTTGATTATGGGGATTTGATTTACAGTATATAGAATGCTTGACTCTGTCTGTCATGGAGCAGCGAGGGAGATTTAAGACCATAGTCTAAATTTTAGATTAGAGATTTAAACCTTTCTCTCAGGACATAATACAACAAAAACATGAGTTAAATTGGAATAGCAGTTTCTTAATACAGTTTCTTTTTCCTTATTTAAAATACCGTGATACAGTTGGCATCTCGTTCTGGCCATTTCCCACGTTCTTGTCTTTGGCATCCTCCTTAAAGAATAAAAAGCATACATCGATTAAAAGGATAAAATTTGCTCTGTATACTCTTTAAGAACTAGGGCATACAACCACATCTAGTAATATCAGTAAGTTTATCCCTCCAAGCTGGTCCTTTTAATTACGTGTAAAGAACAGATTGTCTGTTGGAACCTTTAATCAACTATATCTGATGAGACAAAGTAAAGATAAAAATATAAGCACCTTGCTTGACTGCTCCTGAAGAACAAACCAGGCCTGTCGCGCCGCACTTTGTTTGGCTTCTTTGATACTCTTCCCCTTCCCCACAGGATATTGCTTGTTGTTAATCCGTAATTTGTAGAAAAATCTGAGATGCAAAGAAGTTGAACAGTACATTAACAGTTTACTGAACATGAGTCATGAGCATCCAGTGTCTGCAGTGTGTATTCAGAGTCCAGTACGTCGGGCATACTCACTGACGTTTATCAGGTGGGCCACATATTTTCTCATCAACAAATGTATAGGAGCAGTTTTCTCGCTGACAGTAGTCATTGATAAGTCCTATGTAATTTGTCTCCACTAAGCTGGGGTCTTTAGAGTTCACGGTCAGGTTTTTTGTTGTAGTACTGTAAACAACAAGCAGTAAGAAACTTTACTATGATGCAGATGCCACGATTAAACAATACATCACCATTGTTAATTACTCACCACACATCAAAAACATTCTCACTCAAGTCCTCACTTTGTTGACCTGATCCATCGCTGTGATTCTCATCTGCAGTCTTGAAAAATATAAAAAGTACAATTTTAATGTGGTTATATTAAAATGTTTATGTTTTAGGATTATGATCAAGCTAGAATGGCATGGACTGAACTATAACTTACATCTGTAGTTTTGTTGCCATTTATTATGTCATATACGAGCTTGGCTGCTTCCTCCTTAGCTTCTCTTGCCGTTTTCCCAGAGACTGCTGGGTACTCCTTATCACCAACCATGAAGCTACACCACCTAATGCCATAAAATAACATTTATTTAATCTATTTTACATGAGCACAGAATAGCTATAATTGAGAAACAGTCAGGAGGCTTACGGGATAGCATTATTTGGTCCAGGCCTTGTTGTCTCCATAGGCTTTATAGTCAACCTGTTTCTCTGGCCATATTCATTGAGCCAGCATATGAAGTTGATATCTGTCTCAGCTGGTGTAGAAGCTTCTGCTGCATTTTCTGTCTGTTAAGGTTAAAAAACAAACAAACACCATGGGCACATGCACCACTTATTTTTCTCCAACATGCTAAAGTTAAATAAACTTACCAAGTCCTGACATTTACCATCCAGCAGGCACCTCAGAGCATTTTCAGCTGCTTTAAGCTTTGCATCTTTTTTGGTCTTCCCCACACCTTTGGGGTAGTCTTTACCATCTATGATCGCCTTCTGGCTAAATCTGTAGAGGAAATGACCTGTTAGGGTTAGGTTGCAAGAAATAACTTGAATTTTCTCCTTCCACTTTTAACCTCTGGGAGGAAATATTTCTTTATGATGAAACTTGAGATGTAAATTGCGTGTATATGCAATATATATATATATATATATATTGTTACACCCCGGCCTAGGCAACCGGCGTGCAACTTCCACAAAAATAATCCCAAGACGTGATTTAAAGCAAAATACGACATTTATTTACATCACCAAACACAAGGCGCCAAACTATTTACAACGGGGGGGAAGATCGCGACCATGACCAACTGACACACAGGGCTTAAATACATAGAAGGAGCAATCAGGGAATGGACCACAGGAGGGAAACACAGCTGGGGCAAATTAGACCTGACGAGACAAGAAAACGTAAACTGAACACACTAAGATAACAACAGACCTTCAAAGTAAAACAGGAAACACATGACAGCCACGCAAAAACAAAACACTGACAACACCGAAACGTAACAATATATAGTAAGACATCCTATATATACAGCAACAGACAAGCAGGTGCAGTTTTAAAACGGGCTTCCAGTGCTTTGCTGGGCTCTTTATAATAACATGACTATTCAACTAGTTAGAAATAAAGATTTGGCAAAGCATAGCGCCATTATAGAGCCTTTGGGCCTAAGAGCTGTCATTTCCTGTAATTGAAAGACAGATTAAAATTGATTTAAAATATAACTGCAAGGTAATAAAGGCTTACGACTACACCAGTCTGTATTTGATGTCACCATCATTACTTGTGCATTTTTCCGATAAGATACATAAGGCCTCTTCTTAAACTGTACTGATTAGCTTTGACTTACCGTGCTATCAAACACTCATCTCACCCAATACTTCTATTATCGTCGATATATTATAATGCTCAAAGCTCTCAGGTACTACAAATGTACTCACACTTTATTATGGTCTGGGCCGTCAGAGCCAAGGTACTCATACTTCAGCTTCAAGCGATTTCTCTGCGCATACTCGTTTAGTTCAGCTACGTAGTTTTTAGTTGCCATCATTAATGACTCGGCAAATGTAATAAAATCCCGGTGAGAGCACACAAAGCTCACAGTACTGCTCCCGTCCCCACTTCCATCTTCCTTCTCCGACTGCGGTCAAATATGTCCATTGTTTGTTTCGATTCAGCTGACTTTAGGCATCAGTAAGTTTCGGTTTCTTCGTCCTCCCCTACGTGGTAACAGAGCAGTCGAAACCAACTCCAACTTGTCGCACATTAGCGACGTTCTGTGTACGGAAATGCGCAGCACATTCAGCTGTCCTGCGGTGTGCAGAGAAAGCCTCTGCATTTTTTTTAAAGGACCCTCTCCAAGCTCGTTTCTTTCTTCAATAAGTCTTCGTGGGCCGTGTTGGTAATGCTGAAAGGTATATCTAATTTTAGTTTGTGGGAAGCAATAAAAAGGAACAAAAGTGCACTGCAAAGAAAATAGTCTTCCAGCTTGTAATGTTGACAACAACTTGTTCCATAAAATGGGATTTTTCCCAAACTGAGTGCACATTTAGCATGTGGTAATAAAAAAAAATCCCATACGCACTTATGTTTAATGTAAAGTGTAAGCAAATCATCAGTACCTGTCAAGACCCACTCACTAAATTATGCAGTAAAATATGTACAAAAACTGTACAGCAGACAAATGACCATTACACCCGGGTTGGTCGTTATTTTATTTTCCACATCAGTCTATTTATTACAAAGCAAAGGCTGTAATAATTCATCAGTTTAAATATGTTAATCACATTTCCACAGAACATGATTCCTACTTTCTGTAAAAAGTGACTGAACATAACTGCTATAGCCATAAAAAACAGTACATCAAAGACATTGAAACATGAAAAAAGACATGACATGAAAAAAAACCCACAACAAAAGATATATTTATGTCACTTAGTAAGTGCTGATCAATCAGTTACATTTTCTAGGTGCATTCTTTGTGCATTTAATGTTTGAGCCCACTGTTCCAGGTCTGCCTTCAGTGTACTTGCTTCAGGTCGGTTTTCTGGGCTCGGACACAGCATTGACATGATTATCTGGTTCTGCAAAACACATTAAAAAAAATCAGCTACTTTCTGTATCAACATGAATATATGTTATCAGTACAAATAATTAGCCAATTCGTGCTGCTGCACGATTTTTAACTGGTACAAGCAAACAAGAACACATGACTCCAGTTTTAGAGTCCCTCTTTGGCTTCCTGTTAAGTTTTAAATCCATTTTAAAATTCTTTGATTTGTCTTTAAGTCTCTTAATGGTCTTTCCCCTTCTTATTTGTCTGAGCTGCTTCACCCTTACATGCCATCACATGCTCTTAGATCAGCTAAACAGGTGCTTTTGACTGTCCCGAAGACATTTTCTAAATCTCGAGACAAAGCCTTTTCAGTTTTGGAACCTAAAATGTGGAATGAGCTGCCTCTGGAGGTCAGGCAGGCTCGCCGATTTATTCTTTTATTCTTGTTTTCCTATTTTATCTTTTTTTTTTTTGTACAGCACTTTGGTCAGCTGTTATGTTGTTTTAAAGTGGTTTATAAATGTGAAAGTGAAAAAAATAAGAATTATACCTCTTCTGGAAACTTCAGTGTAAATTCTTCAGGGAGAATTTGCTTTCTGACACCTGTAAAAATCTAGTATACATAATGATAAAAGGATACAAAAACATGTTATTTGACTTGACAGAAAATCATCACAAGAAAAACAAAAGCAAAACTTAAGTATGCAATTCTATACATTATATTCTTCACACATTAACACTGATAGGAAGCTACCAGTAAACATTTTAAAATGTAAACTATTAAATTGTTATACCAACTCACCTTCCCTCTTTCATGCCCAAAAGAGATTTTCCAAAGGAGTTCAAAATATATCAGTCCCAGAGCAAATATGTCCACTTTGGAGCCATATCTTGTTTTGGTCCTCTGTCATAAAACACAAACATAATGTGTTACACACCCCTTAACTCAGTGTGAGTGTTTAAATTATAAGATATGGTTGTGGTAAGCTAATCTATGCGGATTTCACTTTTTTCAAGTTGTAGTTAAATTTTAAGACCATGGTATATAAGTCTAAAATTAAAAGTAGAAACCAGAAAAAAAACCCATCTGGCTGCAATCACTTAAATATATCTTAGATATCTTAGCATGTATCATAAGAGATGGTTTTATCTGGAATGAAATAAGAGTTTTACAGCGAATGAATGAGGTGGTGATAATGGAAAGAAAAAAACTTTTCAATTTGTAAACATCTTTAAAAAAAACACAAAGAACAGGAGATTCTGTCATTTTTAAGAACATTTGCAGAAGGTAATGAAACTTGAATAGATTCAGAAAATGTTGAGCACATAGCTATCATTGAATACTGTCAACAATAAAAAAACACAGAAAAGAAATCAAAGGTTATTTGTTTACAGAGACCTCACCTGTTCGGGAGCCATATATGATTTGGTTCCTGTTTTCTCTGTTCTCTCACTCTGATTTTCATCATTATCATCAGTCTCAGTAGCAACTAGACCAAAATCTCCAATCTTCACTTTTCCATCTTTTCCAAACATGATGTTGGTAGGCTGACGATTGGAAAAGCAAAATTTAAACATTGAGCATTTAGTGCTTCGTGTAGTCAGAAATGAGTGAATAAGGTGATTCTACGAGAAATCTTTCAAATTTACACCATATGTGCATCTACTAAGAGGCTGCGGCATAGCACTGGCTGCTTCTAGTATTTCTCCTTGATGTTGCGCCATCTCTTCAACCTTCTTATACTTATCACCACCTTGTAATGTTGACTTTATTCCCTAAATCAACACTAATAATGTTTTTCTTAATGTGGCCCTAACACTCAGTCATTTCCTGTCTACTGGGTTTACTGTGAAGTAGAAGAAGCACACCAATACTTTAATAGCAGCAGTGTGCATCTCCCTTAAACACACAAAAAGGATACTAAAGAATACGGAAATGGAAAAACTTAAACTTAAATGTGAGCTAGCTCAGCAACATAAGCTTGCGATCCTGTAATCTTGAGTCTCACCTTGAGGTCCCTGTGGATGAGTCTGTGGGAGTGAATGCACTCGACTCCACTGACTATTTGCTGCATAACGGGAAGACTTTCTGCTCTTCTTATAGACTCTTCAAGAGTTTTCTCATTCTTCTCAGTTATCCAGTCTTTAAGTGTTTTGTCATCACATAACTCCATCATAATATAGAGGTACTTTTGTGATGAATTACTACTAGACCTAAAAAAAAAGGAAGATTAAAAATCTAATTAGCATCAAGTCTTCATTTTAAGCATAGAAATGCAAAACTGCACAATACTAAATAACTGAACAAAACTTACTGGGAAGTACTGTAACTGTCAGTTGTATTGTCCCACTGGTATTCTGAATCCTCCAGCCAACACTTGTAGTATCTAACAATGTTAGAGTGGTTGAGGTCTGATAATGCCCCAACCTCTCTTAGAGCTTTTCTGATCAGAAGGAAAACACAGAAATGCTTCAGTAAGCAAGACATACATACATACATACTCACGGTTTCTGTTATTAGAATATTGCTTATGCAAAACATTTGCACTTTGAAAATATACGCTGTGCATATGACTTACTCTTTGTGGCGAACAATCTTTACAGCATAATACTTCTTCACCAGTTTATCTCTTGCTTTGAAAACATGACCATAGCCTCCTTTACCAAGACGTTCAATGCAATCAAAGTCTAAAGTAAACCTAGTGAGATAAACAACATTCATTAGATGAAGATGTGAAAAAATAAGTAAATTATTGGAAAAAAAGAGGATGCAAAAATCTGACCACACAAGTATAAACGTCATGAAATTTTTTTTCATACTTTGATTGGCCTGATGTGTCACTTGGTCTGTTGTCTGTATTTTTGTTTTTGTTAGCGTCCTGAAAAAAAACGCAGAAGGACATAACATGGTTATTATTATCATTAGTATAAAAAAATGTCTGATGTCTGAACATATTAATTAATAAATACAATTACTTTTATTGGCGGTCTGGGCTTAACTAAACATATCAAAGAAAAGAAAAAGGGGAAATACATGCTGTGTTACCCGTCTTTTTCTGTTTAACTACACTGTGATGTGGCAGAGCTGTAAATGTTTGTGGCGCTTTGCAAATACATTTGGATTTTCTTCTAACTTCTTTGTTAACCCTGAACTTGGGCTTGCAGAGACTGACTCTCAGATGTTGCATTACTGTCGCGTTAATATATCGCATTAACAGCTTCTCTACCAGCCATCTGCTACCCAGGGGTAGCAAATATTCTGTGTAAACAGCCAAAGCGCTTGAGTCACAACTGACGTCCATATTTTAAGCTATTGAAGCCAAATTCAATTCATATTTTACAATCCATTTACAAATACCAGTAGGTTTAGAGATCTGAACACAGATTTGCTTATTTATTAATGACATTTATAGATTGCCATACACATTTATGATTTTTAGTACAAATGTAATGACTTTACATTGAATAAAATATGATTGCACACTAATTGACTGAAATAAAGTGACTGAACTAGAACTAAACACTAAACAAATTTGCAAAAAATTCTGACACAAAAACAGCTTCACATAATGCCACGAAGGCTGACATGCTATGACTCTTAACTGTGCCTAGAACATCTTTCTATGAAAGTTATGAATAGAACTGGTGAGAGACGTGAAAGTGCCCAGCAGCCACTAGAAATAAGTCCAACCTATTCATAAGAATGCAAACAAACCTCTAACTACAACTGTGCATGATCTAAAGACCAGCAGTTGACCATTTATCCCATAGTCAAGCCCTCCACCGTCCACCCCATATTCACCATATGCCATATAATATACAGTGCATAGTATACAGATTATAAAGTGGGGATTTCTTTCTTTCAACAAATTCTGTGTTTAAAGCAACAGACCTTTTCCATGGAAGGGTGTGATGAATCAGTGAAGATAACGGAGTCACTCGTACTTGTTGGCATGCTTTTTGAAGACGCTTCAAGAGACTCCCTTGGAGAATACAACAAGAGTACATGAGTGCTGCTTTCTTAATACTCAACCGTCTGACTTAGTAGTTGTATTACTACTAGTATTAGAGTTTCTTACAGTGAAGGTGTTGACAGCCTGGTTGGTGGAGTGTCTACAGACGAAGTTGACATGAGGGACATCTATAAAAACAAACAAAAAACAAAACAAAACAATTTTCCAATGAAATTGTTTTGATTTGTAAATATGTTAGCCTTTGGAAGCACTCACCTCACCAATGAGAAAAAAAGCAATCCTAGTATTTTATGCTTTTATAACATTTTTCTCCTGTTTAGCGTTACTGTCAGATTATGGGTTTAATTCCAGAAAAGAGACACCACAGATACACCGATATATTTTATTCTAAAAAAGCCAACTTCAAGTTCTATGAATTCTTTTATAATTTTAAAAGCAAGAAAAAAAAAATCTGACCTTAGTCTCCAACAAGTTCGATAGGTCAGTGATTGATACTGATTCACTTTCACTCCTTGTTGTGACTTCTGACAAGGCCTCCCTTAAAATTAAAAAGAGAGCCATTTGTGTAGTTTTATACATGTTAAACTTTACCACATACTCTACCATTAATGTTAATACTTGCTTACACTGTGGATGCTGGGGATGGCAGCATTGTTGAAACACTGTCTTCAGACATGGTTGACCTGTAGGATACCTTAAAATAAGCACAATATGTGACATTCAACATTAGTTATCAAACTCAGAAAAGTGCTGAGTGCAACCTTTATGAAACTGTGCAATGTTCTGCTAAAGTGACATTTTAGCAGAACATTGCACATGTTGTGTAATGAATATGAATATAATAACATGCTGAAAGCATTTAAATACCTTGCTGTCCCAGTCAGACTGTTCCTGAAGAGCAGACCAGGCCAACTGAGCTGCCTTTTGTTTGGCATCCTTGATAGTGTCACCTACAGCCTGAGGGTAATCCTTCTTGTTGATAACACATTTGTAGAAAAACCTATGTAACCAGGAAAGATGTGTTAGTTTAGACTTTATTACCCAACTAAGTGTTATTGCAGCTTCTATTTACCCTCCAAAGATTCATTTATACTCACTCAGGGTTATGTTGTGGGCCACATCTTCCCACTTCAATAATATCAATGATTCGCCCTGTCTTCTTACAGTAGTTGTGAACAAGTCCAATGAAATTTGTCGGTTTGTGATTTTTATATGTTACACCCAAGCTCTGATATACTAGCTTGGCTGCTTCCTCCTTAGCTTCCTTTTTATTTTTCCCATAGGCAGTTGGGTACTCCTTCCCACCAACCACAAAGCTACAGCATCTTCTGTAACATCATACAACATTATGCATTAATTTTTATATTTTTAAAAACAAAAATATATTTTAAAAAAATATTTTCTACGATGTATGGAGGCTTACGGAAAACCACTCTTCTGCATATTTATTGACTCCTTAGGCTTTATGATGATCTTATTCTTCTGACCATATTCATTTATCCAGCTTATATAGTCAGAAATATTTGCTTGAATAAGTGGAGCAGTTGGATTTTCATCTTCTGTTTCCATCTAAAACAAAGACATCAATAAAAAGCAGTTAGACTTGCAGCTGTAAACTACAATTTCATTTTGAACATAATAAGCAACCTAGTATACTTTAGTTCAGCAAAGACTGCATCATGATCTTACAGAATCAACTGGAGCTTGTTGCTCTTTATCCATTACTGCAGAGTATTTCCTGTTGTGGTCTGTTTGGCTCACTTCCTTCAGGCTGTTTAGTGGTGGTAAATCTGATGACAAATGATCAAAGCTTTGATTTGATTATACTGGCAAGTAATGAAGTTCTTAACTATATAAAAATACATATCTATATTCAGTACCAGTCAGTTGACGTATCAACCACTGTAATGTAATGCACAAGATACCAAAATGGGAAGCAGGTTATTCCAGCCATGTTAGTTATTCCTGCAATATAACCTTAGATGCTCTAATTGGTCACTGTTGCGTTCACTTGAATAATATTATTTTGTGCAACTGGTTTATGAAGAAAGTGACTTTAAACCTTTTTTCACTGTCGCGGAAAACAGTAATTAGCAGTCAGAGTAATAGTCAATAGACCAAATGACTTGTTATTCATTAGATGTTCAAATTACATCACTATATATACGTCTTTGTCAGCAGAAGAAATGAAAGAATGGTGACAGAACAGGGAGTAACGGAGTGTAGCGCCAATTGCACGAGCCAAAAATATTACATAAAATAATAAAGCCAACGATTGATAAGAAGTGTGCTATTGCATAGACACACTTAAATATTAAATACAACTTACCGTGATCGTGGCCTGTAGAGCCAAGTTACTCGCGTTCACCTCCGAGCCTGTGTAGCTCATTCCCTATAGAACTACATGGTGTCCCACTTCCCCCCAAAAATGACGAAGGAGTTGCAATCAGAGTTCAGAATTGCGAATAATTGTGACAAGTCACAAAGTACAATAGTATCTCTTTATCTCTTTAAAAAAAAAATTGCCTCCACGTTTCCGTAACCGCGTTAGCGGATTCAGCCGCCTTTAAGTTTCGATTCGTCACTGGAAACGTAACGTCCCAGTGTCCACACCTTGGCAGGCATTAAAACTTAGTATTAAAGAAAAATCGAATAAAAAAAATAATTGCAATAACATAACCATAATCTACGCATTGTCCATTCCCACTCGTCTATTTATTTTGGCCCATGTTCATATCCATTTGGGAAAGGAGAAAACTATGGCACAATAGGAATGACGCATGAACAATGGCAATTAAACATTAGAAATGTCTTGTCATTACATGTATAAGCTGGCATGTTAGAAGATCGCGAGTCACCGATTCACTCACAGCTGCTTTCTCTATATTGGAAAAAAAGTTTTAAGAAAGTTTCTTGATCCAGAAAATTCAATTCAATTTTATGTATATGGCACCAAATCACAGCAATAATCACCTCAAGGTGCTATTGTACTGTTGAGAGCCTACAACAATACAGAGAAAACCCCAACAATCAGATCACCCCTAGTGGGAGAACACTTGGTGAGAGTGGGAAAGAAAAACCTCTGCCATCCACATAGGATAGAAGACAGGCTATGGAAGAGAGATAGAAAATAACCAATGGCTGAATGCAGAGTGGGGTATAAACAGAGAATGAAAAGAAAGTGAGTAAAGAAGAAATACCCATCATGGGAAGACTCAAAATTCAGTTTTGCAGTACTCCATGGCAAATCTATCGTACGCAGTGACTTCACAATAAAAATCTGAGAGAAGGATTTATTCACTTACCAGTATATTTAATCTTTCAATGGATGAAATTACTCACATGACACCCTAAACCACTTACTGTAATAGAAAGTGGCCCAACTGTATGGAAACTACCATAACCAGCATGCTACTCCCTCCACACAGCTGAAAGGATGAACCCAAGTCACCTTGTAACGTTTTTTATTGCACGATTTCACATTGCAGTCATTCATCTGGAGTTCTTTTTTTTCCCGTTTTTAATTATTATTATTATTATTATTATTATTATTTACAAAACTATACAAGTATGACATCACTTTTATTACAAAATATTACAGGATAAAACAAATAATTTATATAAGTGTAGACAACAAGTGAATAATGACACAAATTTAATTTGTATTTCATTCATATATTATAACATGAATCACTTCATCAGCCTTTCTTTAAACCAAGCACTCCATAAATACAACTATATCTGATGATGCATCAGACCATGAAAAGAAAGCATTCAAAACATCCACACATGCACTGCATGACATGATGTGTGTTGAATACAGTCATGCATGAAATGACTAATCCGAGTGTTCTTTTTTAGACTTTTCATTAAAGTCCTTATAACTGTCAAACTGTGTTACTATTTCGAAGCATTTGTTTTTGCATTAAAAGTGCATCAGAGTACTCTTTCAGCTCCTCCTTTAGTTTACTTGCTTCCGGACGGTTTTCTGGCTTCGCACACAGCATTGCCTTTATGATTTGATGCTGCAATTAGACATAAGAAGAAAACAGTGCGAAATCAATATCAATATCAATCAATGCTGTCATTTATTGTGAAAGTCCAGTATATATTATTTGCCACATTTATACTTTACTTGGGAAATTAAACAAAGAAAACTTTCAGGTTCTAAGACAGTCCTGCTTGGTCATTTTTGCTATTAACGATCAACAGTTGTGGCTCTTCATCCTTTGATGGAAATAGATGATTGCTGGAAATGTTTATGTAGTAAACTTAAAATAATGTTGATGTACCTCTTGTGGAAAATTATTCAAAAACCCTTGAGGAAGTTTCTGGCTTCGGGCATTGTCCCAAACCTGGCATTTATATAATGAGAGAAGGGATAAAAATGATGATCTGTTCATTTATTAAACAATATTAAATAAAAACATAGTACACATTAAATTTGATTTATATCAACATTCTGCTTCCTATGACACAAACTGAGAAAACCATTATTAACAGAGCAAGTTTGCAGCAACATTTTGCATAAGCTTTGGAAAAACTCACCGCTTTTCTTTCAGGGCCAACAGGGAGATTCCAAAGAAGTTCAAAATATATCAACCCCAAAGCAAATATGTCTACTTTTCGGTCGTAATAGCTCTTGCTTTTCTGTCATTAAAAAGAGAAAAACAAAAAACGGCCAATTTTGTGAGTAAATAATAGAAGACAAAAAAAGGTTTTTACTATCTCTTTTCAATATGGGTGGACTAACCCTTAAGGACATTGGGCATTAGAAACTAGTTTAATAGTCAACCCAATGCTTCTTTGGTTTTAAGGCGGTTGATTTAAATGGTTTTCCTATTTACTTGCAACAGTAGTAAAATAGTTTTTTAGTAGTACAAGAAAGAAGGTGCATTGCCCTATGGTGTTGACAACCTTTAAAAAAAAGTGTCTTTAATGTCTTCTCTTACTACCTAATATTTATTAATGGGTAAGACACTAAATTTCAATTTAGATTATTCAACCTGCTCGGGAGCCATATAAGATGGTGTTCCTTTGTAAGCACTTCTTTCCAGTAGATTCTCAGCATCATTGTCAATCTCAGCAGTGACCAGGCCAAAGTCTCCAATCTTCACTTCTCCATCCCGTCCAAACATGATGTTGGCAGGCTATACATTTTAAGAAAAGGCACAAATAAACGTCTACCTCTTTATGACATGTGCAGCAACAAACAACCGTCTTCTCCTCTTTGTCTCACCTTCAGGTCTCTGTGGATGAGCATCTTTGAGTGAATGTACTCGACTCCACTGGCTATTTGCTGAGCAATGATTAGGCTCTCTTCCTTTCTCCTTGAGTCTCGCAGAGATTTCTTCACATTCTGAGTATTCTTCTCGTCTATCCACACTCTAAGTGTTTTAGTATCACACAGCTCCATCTGAATATAGAGGCACTTTTCAGATGAATCACTAGCAGACCTTGAAAATAAAAAAACAAAAACAAATAAAGGAATTATGAACCTTTACTTTATCCTCAATGGTGAGGCAACACTCTGTAAACTACTGTAAAAATCAAGAAGACAGAAAACTGTGGCGCAATGTGTGTTGCTATAATAAACTGTAATATTGATTAATTTTAGTATAATTTTAGCCACAAAGAGAAAACATGTGTCCAGTCTTCAAAAATGTACATCAAGGTAACAGACAAGAAACTAAAGTGTGAAGTGAATGCTTCCTCTGTCATTTACACCACATGTGATGCAATGTTAAGACATAATAATATTAATAATGAAGTAATGTGACTTACTGCGAAGTACTGTAGGTGTCGCCTGTACTGTCCACTTGGTATTCTAAATCCTGAATCCAACAGGTGTAGTATCGAACAATGTTGGTGTGATGGAGGTCTGATAATGCCACCACCTCCCTTAGAGACTTTCTGATTATAAGAAGTACAAGAAATATCAATAAACTTTAAATCTCTTTTAAAGCATCTGTAACTTTCCAGCTGAGGGACTCAATACATCAGGAAACAATACTGTAAGAGTATCTCTGTGAAGACTTATAACAACTCCCTCACTTTCAGAAGAATTCAAAGTTTCATATAGCTTTAGGCTGTCATTGTGCTATGATGTAGCCATCAAATGCATATGTAACACACAGAACTAACCTTAAGTAGCAAGCTAGCTGCAACTGAGGAATGTACACTTTCAACTAACCCAAAAAAATTCTGTGTCAGTTTTGTATAAGAAACATTGGTTTATTTATTACTTTATGAAGTAAGAAGACATTAGATACTAATGGGTGACCTGATACTAGAATGGATAGATTGCATACCACATGGAGGTAAATGCCTTAAACAACAAAATTCCTGCTCGGATCATTTGCTGCGTTACTCTTTCGTTGTATTATTCCCTCTCTCCACTATTTCTATCAAAAAATGTTTCCAAATGCTAAAAAAAGGTACATTAGCGGACAGTAGCACAAAGTCACGTAAAACAGTAATGTGATGAGAAGTTTGGCACCTTAATTCATTTACTGATGCTAAAGTGAAGGCTGCAGAAGTAAAAACATAACATCAAAAACCTAAATGTATTTGTACACCGAAAAACAAAAGATGCAAAATATCCCCAAACACTTGACAGTAAATTTGCCACCCGCCTTACTGTATACTCTTGTATACTACTAGTGTGCTAATCTCTCTCAAATCTCCTGTACAGAGCTAGTGGCAATTCACCTTTTTCATAAACTTAAACAAAATTAAATATTTATATTAAATATTTACTTACTCTTTGCAGCGAACAATTTTAATAGCATAATATTTATTCAGCAGCTTATGTTTTGCCTTATAAACACGACCAAAGGCTCCTTTACCAAGGCGCTCTATAGAGTCGAATTCCAGTGTAAACCTGTAGAGATTAACATAGGTGTTACTATTAATGACAAATGCTAACAAAGAGAAAATTCTCCTTTAACTATAAACTGTAGTAAAAACATGATAGCAGTACATTGTAGTGTTGTTGTTGTTTTTTTAATACCTCGATTGTACTACTTGACTTGATGTTTTCTCGGTGGAACCTCTTTCTTTACTCTTTTCTTTGAGATCAGAGTTGTGCAAATCCTTAAAAACAATGCAAAGTCAGCATATTGAAATTCCAGTATTAAACAAAAAACTGAAAACACTCAGAATTTCTGTGAGTCCTTCATACCTTTTTTTTGTGTCTGGAAACATTACCGAAATTTGCTGCAATTCTAACCAGGAAAATCATCATCAGCAATAATGTCAGATGAAATATTACACAACGATGTTTACAACAGGTTTCAAAGTATGACTTACCTTATTTTTGGTTTTAAATCAGGATTTTGATCCTTAAAAAGGGAGAAATAAAGGGGGAAATAAGGCTAAATTAGATGCAAAACATTTGTTACAAACAAGACAAACTTAGTTATTAAATGGTATTATTAATAGTAGTTTGAAACACTGATGTCAATCATCAGGTACTGAAAGTTTGTAAGAGTTTGTAAGGTGCTATTTTACAAATACACACTCAATTTCTGCCCAGAGCCTTAGCTAACTTCTTGTCTGTATAGAATGTATATATTTATGTATGTTTTCCACATACATCATCCCAAGGAAACATTTCCTTCATTTGTACAAGTACATAGTTGAGCCTTGTTGGATTAGTTCCTACAGATAAAAATTATATACTTGAACAACATCACAAGAAAAAATAATATTGTCAGTTATTTTTCAAATTCTTGGAAAAAGTTAAGCCCATTTCTAGCTAATATTATCCCCTTTAGTACAAATTACTCATAGGAGATTTGCATAATTATCCACCTGCTTGATGTGAGGAAAATCTGCAGTGTGCAAAATCATCGGCCAGTATTGCAGTGATACAGATTTTACCACATTTATATTTTAATTAGAAAAGAATATCAGACTGTAGGAGTCAGAGGTTTAAACAACATGGGTTTACCTTCCCAAGGCAAATCCTATCATTGGCATTTTTTCTTAAACTTCTGTTTCTAATTTTACTTATTTATACAACTGTGAGTTTTATGTTAAAAAACAAACAAACAAAAAAACCCCAAAAAAAACAAAAACAGGAACAGCAAAAAAGAAAGTGATGAATGAAATTGACACATACAAAATCTAGGATGCATTCGTTGAGACCGGAGTTATTAGTGAGGGGTTTTTTTCTTGTTAGTTTTTAATTTTTATTTTATTCTGACTTTGTTTTTAATTCACTTTAGTTTCAGTTAGTTTCCAAAGTGAATGTTCTTGTTTTACTCTTTTTAATTATTATTGCATCAAGGGGATATGTCAGAGGCAAGATTTAGGAAAATCAGGTATTGCAAGAAAAAAAGAAAGCAGTTGACTCACAGTGTTGTAGACATATAGGGTCTCAATAAACATGTACACCAGTGACTCATCAGGCAGATTGAATTAAACAAACTAAATACTAAAACTAAAGATATTTCCTCTATATTTGTATTTTAGTTTAGCTTTTTATTCCCCTAACTGTGCAAAATCATTTCACTTCACTTTAAAAAAAAGTCTAGTTTTAATTTTTTATTTCAGTTTTTTCACATCTAATTTTAGTTTAGCTTAAGCTGACTATAATAACCTTCACTGAGAAAAAAAAACAGATCAGTTTTTCATTTATTTAATTTATGAAGACTGTCAAATGCATTTGTCACATTTTAATAGATCATGATCACCAATATGTAGTGTTTGCTTGATCACATTTTTTAATAAATAACTATTTTCATACCTTGATATTACTATAGATACATCACCCATTATTATTGAAAAGTTGTTATTGCAATTATGAAAACTACTAATTAGGAGTGTAGAATTGGAGCTAAATAATTAAAAGCATCCTAATATAACCGTGTTAGGATCAAAGGACATGACAACAAAAGATATAGAAGACACAGAGGATAACAAACCTGTTCCTTGGAAGGTCTCTGAACCTTTGGGGAAACAACTGGGTCACTTGAAGTCATTGGTATTCTTTCTGATTTTGCATCATGTGGGATCCTTTGAAAATACAGCAAGATACATTCATGCAGTTTTCTCCACATTAAACTTAAGTATTAGGTGTGCTTGCTCATTCCATTGCCTTACAGTGTGCTCGCTGGGCTGGACAGCTGGACTGGTGTAACATCATCTGACACAGCTGACCAAGAAACCAGCTGAAAGAAACAAAAAAAATGTTCAGCTGTACACTAAGACACCGTTTGGTAGTAGGACACTTTAATGTAAAATAATATGATTGTTGGTAAGTGCAGGGGATATTTATTAACATGCACGACACGCCCTTACTATTTGTCCATCTGGCTGCTGCAAAATTATCCATTGGTTAACCACATACATGTATGTTTAAAATGAGACTGTCAGAAAAATTCTAAATGTTTTTGAAAACATTAGTTTTAGCTATAATTTAAACCTCCTAACACCTGAACTCTTTCATGGCATGCATTTTTAATTTCTCCTTGCTATTTGGGCTGATTGGGAAATGCAAAAACAAAGAATTACATGATTTTTTTTCTGATTTTTAGAGCCACATATGAGGACATTCGCTTTAAATTTCGATAGAACAGTGGCAGTATAATGTCCTCGTAAGTGGATAATCAGGCCTTGTGAGCAAAATTTTGTATTTTGGTCTAGACAACCCAAAATGTGATGTCCACATATGTGGACGCCAGGTCCTAGGAGGTTAATATAAAATAAAATATTCACAATAATCACTTTCTGTATGGTTTCTGTAAAGTACAGCAGTGGCTTCAAAAGCATGTTAGCATCCTGGAACCCACATCAGGCGTTTTTTGGATATCTTTCACATTTAATCTCTTAGCATGTCTGCTTTTTGCGACTGTTTTTGGTTGCATATGTAAATCTGTGAGGTCTGTTCTCAAAGCGCAAAACATAGAGAAGAAAATATTTAAATCAAGCACATACACTTATTTACTAATGTTTTCAAATGCCATTTACTGATAACTGTATCAATAACGCTAAAAAAAGAAAAGACAAAAAAAGCATGCCTTTTTTTTTTGGGCTCGATTTTGAAATTAACTTACTGCACCTACGTTTAGAAAACAACCGTGATTTTAAAACTAACCACATCTATGAGCTCTATTTGGGGTTTGCTCTCCACACACTAGCTTTGCTCTATTTAGCAAATTCTGGCGTGCAATGCTTTAGAAACACATGCTTTTTTTAAAAAAAAAGAAAAAGTTCACTAAGTACAATAATACATGATGATTTTGTTAGGAACATATTTCTGCATCATCCAATCTTTGAGATACAGCAATATTTGGACACTTATAAAAATTATGATTATGATTGTGAAGTATTGTTCCTTTACCTAAATTGTGCTTCCCTGTCTGTAACACTGAGCTTACACTTTTCAAGCTGTTTTAACACATGAAGTTCAGGCAGCTTAGCAAGAAAGGACAATACAAAATACTTGGCTGTCCTCTCTTTTATGACCTTACAACTAGCAGGAAATAATTCGCCTCAGACTAGTTTGCACTATTGGAAATACAATTTGGTTTAGGCGAGCTTCCCGCATAAAGTGGGTTTGAAGCAGTAAGAATGATGCCCACTCATTAGAAGTGAATGCAATCTGACATCACACATCATGTGTACGCAGCAAGTAGGGAGCAGGTAGATAAATGAAATGTGTGACATTTGCTTTCTCACAAGCATCTCTGTTGAATGATGCTGAGAAAAGTTTAGGAGTGCAACGCCTTTATAGTAAGGAATTAAAAAGCTAGAGTGTGTTGGGTGAGGAATATGGAAGATTTCAAGGTTGTGGATAAAAACAAAAATCATTAAGTAAAGATCATTAAGTACCTTACTATCCCAATTTGATTGTTCCTGAAGAGCAGACCACGCCTGCCGAGCAGCATTTTGTTTGGCCTCTTTGATAGTCTTACCCTCACCCACAGGATATTCCTTGTTGTCAATGACTACTTTGTAGAAAAATCTGTGTAGGGAGACAATATCAGCAGCAACAGGTTTAAGAGTTTTGTGCCATACAAATAGCTTTATATATACACACACACATATATAGATTTAGTCTATATAAGGTGCATTTAGTTAAAAATGTTAAGTCATACTCACTGAGGATTATGTGGTGGACCGCATTTGCTCAGTAGGACGTAATCATGGCAATGCTTTGTTTTCTGACAGTAGAGATTGATGAGTCCTATGAAATTCTCTTCTGTAAAGATTTCAGCTTCTTTCTTTACCATCAAGCTCTTTGTCTTAGAACTATAAAGACAAGCCACATATTCAGAACTTTACCAACAAAAGAGAATCCAAACATTGAAACTGAAACTATTTGTTACAACTGTTTGTCCTCACCAGTTGTCGTCATGATTCTGATTTATTTCTACTCCTTTGTGACTTGAAGAACCACCGTGTTTTAGATCGATGATCTTAGAACAAGAACGGACATTTAAACTGATTTTACTTAATCCGGTAATTTAAAAAAAAAACTTCTGCAACAGCCTCAACATTACAAACTGGTGAACCATGGCAGGAGTGGATGAAAGAATGGGATATAACCAACCTGCTCCTTGGAAGCGTTAGATGACTGGGAGAAAACAACTGAGTCATTTGTAGTTGTTGTACTGCTACTTGATTTTGGACAACCAGAGTCCCTTTGAGACAAATAAAATGCCTAATTAATAGGTATTTTCAACATTACATGTTACCATCTACAGTACTGCTCAGCCTTACAGTGTGCTTGGTG